GTGTGTGTGTGTGAGTGAGTGAGTGAGTGAGTGTGTGTGTGTGTGTGTGAGTGAGTGAGTGAGTGAGTGTGTGTGTGTGTGTGTGAGTGAGTGAGTGAGTGAGTGTGTGTGTGTGTGTGTGTGTGAGTGAGTGAGTGAGTGTGTGTGTGTGAGTGAGTGTGCGAGTGAGTGAGTGAGTGTGTGTGCGTGTGAGTGAGTGAGTGAGTGAGTGAGTGTGTGAGGTCAGGTGGTCAGTCATTTGCGCTCCAGCTCTTTACTCTGTTTCAGCTCCTTAATCCTGCAAACACACACAATTATAATAAATAACTAATCTGAACTAATTTTCAAACATTTTCAGCAAATAAATCTGAAGATTGAAAAAAGCCAGGTTCAAAATTCTAGTTTGATTTTGTTGTCATATTAGAGCTAAAGGTTTTTACAGAGGGAATTTTGGATTTCTGTTTTTATCACTCCATAAATCAGAAAAAAATGATTTTCACCATGTTTTTTTAGGAGTAAAATGTAGTATAAATCAGTGTGAATGAAATATGAACAAACCCCACAGTGAAAACCTTCAGAATATAGAGAGGAATAAAACTAAGTTTTGGTGTGTGTAAGTGCTGCTTTTTAAAAGTTTTTAAAAACTTTTCCAGTCATTCATGATTTACTTGATAAAAATTAAAGATAAGGATTTAAAAAAATATTTTTTATGTGCAGTAACATAAATAATTCAAGTTATTTAACTAGTAAAATGTATATTCATATATAAATGCTCATGTCGTTTCAAGATTTGTTTCAATTTCCATGAGTTTTTCCAGGTCTAGAAATCACACTTTTAAAATGAGGCTTCCTCGTAAAGCCAGGTTTTCCAGGACTGTGTGAATCCTGGTTCTTCAAAGAAACAAACACTTGTTGAGAAGGTGAACCAAGTTAAGAAACATCTTGATTTTTAGTTGTTTGAGCTTATTCAATGCTTATTTTGTCTTGTTTTAAATCATTTTTATCTTCAGGCCTCTGGTTGGGAATGACTGGCTTGAGTTCAATCAATGCAGGAATGGAAACTCGAGTCACAGAACGATATCCAGACGTGTACCTGTGTCTGCAGCGTCTGAGGAAGCGCATGATCTTCCGCGCGGCCTGATCCTGTTTCTTGGTCAGGAACGAGCCTCTGACACACACAACGAGAGTTTGAGCGAGGAATCACAGAATCACTCATATAATGATCTGCAGTGTGGTATATTGTGTGCGTCTCACTTGAGCCTGGTGTTGAGGGCCCCGGGGCCGCGTGGCCCCTGCTTGACGCGCTCATACTCTTTATAGCTGCGGTAGTACTGCTGGATGAGGACGGCTGCTCGCCGCGACTGCTGGAACTTCTTCTGCTCGTAATAACTGCGGAACTTGCTCTGAATCAGTATGGCTGCCTGTGTCATCTTCTTATACAAGGCGTACTGGAGGAGGACAAACACACACACACATAAATACTGCAGGAGGATATACACAAACACACACATGAGCACACACAGCACAGAAGAAACAGTGCAAAACCACAACGGTTTAAGCAGTTTAGTTCGACATTACCTTCAGTGCTATCCATGTTAGCTAGCATGAAATTAAACGAGAAACAGGAGAGAGATCATAGACACGGCAGCAATATTAGTGTGTTAGCGAAGACACACACACAATCACGAACACACACTCAGAAGTTCAATGGTCAGTAACAGTTTGTTTCTTAACATCAAATGTTTCTGTATATGTGTGTATGCGTGTGTGTTTGTATCTACTAGCCATATTGTACCTAACAAAATCCCCCACAGCCTCATTTTGGTGACGTTCTTGTAAAAGTGGTATAAAAAATAAATTAAATGTTCTTAAGGAAAGACACCCTGGAGCAGGGGTCTCCAAACTCAGTCCTGCTTTCACCATGCTTTCCCATTTTATTTATTACATTAATTGGAAACATTTTTTTTTTTTTGCATGAGAAGTTTTCTGAAATGTTATATTTAAATATGCAAGCGAATCATCGCCTAACTAAATATGCACTAATTTGCGTACATTTCTAGAACAGAAATCTGAACATTGGTTCAAAATTCTAGTTTGATTGTGTTGACATTTTAGAGTTAAAGGGTTCTCCAGAGGGGATTTTGGATTTCTCTTTTTATCACTCCATAAATCAGAAAATACTGTCAAGAGACAGAAACAATGCATTTTCACCATGTTTTTTAGGAATAAAATGTTGTATAATTCAGTGTGAGTCAAATATGAACAAACCCCACGGTAAAAACCTTCAGAATATAGAGAGGAATAAAACTCTAAGTGTTGGTGTGTGTAAGTGCTGCTGAAGTGGAGAAAAAACTCTTTAAAGAAATATATTGGAATTGAAATCTACAGACGAAAATAGACAAAGTGTAATAAAATAAACACTTCAGTGTGTATTCTGGATGTTTTCTTTCCACTAGTCTGAAAGAAGAGTGATGATATGGAAGCAAAACAGACCAAAATCTCAAAACTGAGTGAGCAGTGCATGAAAAAACTATGTTTTTGTCTGTAATGTCTTGCCTTTTTACACTTTATCTATTTGCGTCTGTAGATTTCAATTACACTTCATATCTTCAAAAAGTTTTTTCTCCACTTCAGCAGCTCTTACACACACCAAACCTAGCAGTTTTATTCCTCTCTATATTATGAAGGTTTTTACTGAGGGGATTTTGAATTTCTGTGATTTTCACATAATCACAGAAAATACAGTCAACAGACTGAAAAAAAACGCATTTTCACCATGTTTTTGAGGAATAAAATGTTGTATAAATCAGTGCGAATGAAATATGAACAAACCCCACGGTAAAAACCTTCTGAATATAGAGAGGAATAAAACTGTAAGTTTTGGTGTGTGTAAGAGCTGCTGAAGTGGAGAAAAAACTTTTTGAAGATACGGATTGTAACTGAAATCTACAGACGCAAATAGATAAAGTGCAATAAAATAAACACTCAAAAGTGTTTTTTAGATGATTTATTTCCACTAGTCTGAAAAAACAAAACAAAAAAACAAATAGCCCAAAATCTCTAAATTAAACAGTGCATGAAAAAACGTTTTCGCCTGTAGTGTCTTGCAATAGAAGTGTATAGAATGTCCTCATTTAGACAGATAAGAAAACGTGCATGTGTGTGTGTGTTGTACCTGTTTGTATTTGCGGTAACAGCGCTGTATTACAGCTGCAGCCATGTCCTGCTGCTCCTTAAGCCTCCGCCCCTAAACACAACAACCAATCATTATCAAATCAGACACACACTCACAGTCAGTCATCGAGTGTGTGTGTGTGTGTGAGTGTGAGTGTGTGTGAGTGTGAGTGTGTGTGTGAGTGTGTGTGTGTGAGTGTGTGTGTGTGAGTGTGTGTGTGTGAGTGTGTGTGTGTGTACTGGTTTATATATCCTGGTGGGGACTTAAACCTGACTACACACAGACTCATGGGGACTCTTGTCACGGTGGGGACCTAAATTGAGGTCCCCACGGGTAAACAAGCAAGAGAGAGAGAGAGAGAGAGCGAGAGAGAGTGTGTGCGAGAGAGAGAGAGAGAGAGAGAGAGCGAGCGAGCGAGAGTGTGTGAGAGAGAGAGAGAGAGAGAGAGCGAGCGAGCGAGCGTGTGTGAGAGAGAGAGAGAGAGAGCGCAAGCGAGAGAGAGCGCGAGCAAGAGAGAGAGAGAGAGAGAGATGCGCAAGCGAGAGAGAGAGAGAGAGAGAAAGAGAGAGAGAGAGAGAGAGAGAGAGAGAGAGAGAAGGGTTAGTATTATTCCACGAAACTATAATTAATAAAAATACTATTACAACATTATTTTAAGGAATAACAATTCAATTATACAGTAAACCTAAAAACTAAAAATAAAATGTGCTTTTTGTAAAGGAATTATTATATTTAAATGTGATTAGATTTTAAATGATTGATCAACTTCTCAGATTTCTATTAATTCCTTTGATTTTACAGTTTTTTTATTATACATTTTTATTATATCATAAAACATAGAATGCAGAAAACATTAAAACACATCACAGAATATGGGGAAAAAATAATAGAAATTTCACAGGGCCTTATAACGGCTAATATTTTAATAAAATATTAAATCATCATAATATTAAGTTTTATGAATTTTATTGGATATGCTTTTTGACTATAAAAAAAACTGAACTTGGTTATACATTTGTTTTGAATATAAAAATTTTATTTTAATTTGGTTTAATTGAATGAAAATGTAATTCAGAAACAATAAAACAGAAAACAGCATTTGGGGAAAAAATGAAAAAGATTTTATAGGGCCTTATTATTGTTAACATTAGAATATTAAATTATCAATGTTTTATGAATTTTATTGTACATGCTTTTTGAATATACAATTTTATTTTTTTTTATTTAATTAAAATGGAATTCAGAAAATTAAAACTTAAGTTTTATAAAGTTTTATCAATTTGATTAGACATGCGTTAATGCATAATGCAAAAACTTATTTTTAATGAATTATAAAAGTTATTTTTAATTTTGTTTGAAATAATTTAAATGGAATTTAGAAAAACTAAAACTAAAGCACAGAACAAATAAAATGGATTTCACAGGGGCCTGGTGTGTGTTGTTACCCGTGTCAGGGCTGCAGGACAGTGGAGACAGGGGTCGGTACGGAGGTGAGGGTGTGTCCGGTGTGTGTTCCTGCGTCTGAGAGTGTGTGTGTAACTCCTCCAGACAGCGCGCTAGACGTGTGTGTCCACGGGAATGTGCCACAGCCAGAGGCAGACGACCCAGAGAGTCCGGGATTCCCAGAGCCGCGCTGCTCCAGCGGTACAACAACACAGCTGCGGCCTGATGACCCAGAGCACACGCCCACATCTGAACACACACACACACACACACACACACAGACACACACAGACACACACACACACAGACACACACAGACACACACACAGACACAGACACAGACACAGACACACACACACAGACACACACACACATACGGGTCAGAACCACGAAAACATGACGCAGCACAACTGTTTTCAACACTGATAATAATCAGAAATGTTTGTTGAGCAGCAAATCAGCATATTAGAATGATTTCTGAAGATCATGTGACACTGAAGACTGGAGTAATGATGCTGAAAATACAGCTGCGCATCACAGACATACATTACAGTTTAACAGAGATTCACATAGAAAACAGCTGTTTTACATTGTAATAATATTTCACTGTTTTTACTGTATTTTTGATCAAATAAATGCAGCCTTGGTGAGCAGAAGAGACTTCGGTCAAAAGCATTTAGAAATCTTGATTGATTGATTGATTGATTCCAAACTTTTGACTGTACCAGAGGTGTGCAGGAGAAATGATCAACATTCAGAGGATCCACTTCCTGTTCCAGATCCAAACTATTCACACTGATACTCCTGATACACACACAGAGACACAAACAAACATTATTAAACACAAAACACACTGTTTCAAGTGTCTGCAGACAAACAGAGAACTGAGTGTGTGTGTGTGTGTGTGTTACCTCCAGCGTATGAGTGTGTGTATGTGTGTGTGTGTGTGTGTGTGAGTATGTGTTACCTCCAGAGTATGAATGTGTGTATGTGTGTGTATATGTGTGTGTTACCTCCAGCGTATGAGTGTGTGTATGAGTGTGTGTGTGTGAGTATGTGTTACCTCCAGAGTATGAGTGTGTGTATGTGTGTGTATATGTGTGTGTGTTACCTCCAGCGTATGAGTGTGTGTATGAGTGTGTGTGTGTGTGAGTATGTGTTACCTCCAGAGTATGAGTGTGTGTGTGTGTGTGTGTGTGTTACCTCCAGAGTATGTGTGTGTATGAGTGTGTGTGTGTGTGAGTGTGAGTATGTGTGTTACCTCCAGAGTATGAGTGTGTGTGTGTGTGTGTGTGTGTTACCTCCGGTGTGTGTGTGTGTGTGTGTGTGTGTGTGTTTCCTCCAGTGTGTGTGTGTGTGTGTATGAGTGTGTTACCTCCAGCGTATGAGTGTGTGTATGAGTGTGTGTGTGTGAGTATGTGTTACCTCCAGAGTATGAGTGTGTGTGTGTGTGTGTGTGTGTTACCTCCGGTGTGTGTGTGTGTGTGTGTGTGTGTGTGTTTCCTCCAGTGTGTGTGTGTGTGTGTATGAGTGTGTTACCTCCAGCGTATGAGTGTGTGTATGAGTGTGTGTGTGTGAGTATGTGTTACCTCCAGAGTATGAGTGTGTGTGTGTGTGTGTGTGTGTTACCTCCGGTGTGTGTGTGTGTGTGTGTGTGTGTGTGTTTCCTCCAGTGTGTGTGTGTGTGTGTATGAGTGTGTTACCTCCAGCGTATGAGTGTGTGTATGAGCTGTGTGTATCCCTGAGCAGCGGCGAGGTGCAGTAGCGTCATCCCTCGGTGTCTGATGGAGTGTGTGAGTCTGTCCGTCTCACCGCCTCGTTCCCAGCGACCGCCGGCCATCATCCGCTCGCACACGGCCACGATCCTGCGCTCGAACCACAGCCCCGACTGACACACACACACACACACACATCATCATTAACACATTTACACGCCTCCTCCCATCTACTAGAGAGAAATCTTTCATTTGACTCTGTTCTCGGCTCTAAATCACACACAATCACTAATCTGATGGGCTGATATCGTCCCGTCCTGTAGTCAGTGTTTATCTCAGTCCCTGTGTTTACTAGTTACACAGACACTTCAGGGGAAGAACTTCCTCAAATGTAATCTTTGACACATTCAGAATTTAGATTCAGAGTGAATTAAAGACAGATTTGATTAACAAAAGTTTGAGTCACTGAATCAGATGTGAAGCTGCTTTCAACCTGGACCTTACATTTGTATTCAAACAACAGTCAAACTAGTCTTTTAAAGAAAAATTAGCTCCCAAAACTACACTAACAAGAAGCAGATAACTACAGTGAATCTAAAGAGGTAGAATCTTTTTTAAATATGTCTATAAATGTTTAAATATATCAGATGATGACGTTTATAATGACATTTACAGCAGCAGAAAGTATTGTGAAAGTCTAAATAAATAAAACCGACAAAATCTGGATCTTAATTAGAGTAACAAGATGAAACTTGAGGCAAAACACATAGTTTTTTTTTCCAAGAACAGGTGTATTTTGAGATTTTGGGATATTTGGCTTTTCACATGAAGTATTGAAAGAAGTACTAGTGACTAGATTCTAGTGGAAAGAAAACATCTTAAATAAAACACTTTGAAGTTTAGATTTTATTGCACTTTATCTATTTTCGTCTGTAGATTTCAATTCCAATCTATATCTTTAAAGAGTTTTTTCTCCACTTCAGCAGCTCTTACACACACCAACACTTAGAATTTTATTCCTCTCTATATTCTGTAGGATTTTATAGAGGGGTTTGTTCATATTTCATTCACACTGATTTATACTACATTTTACTCCTAAAAACATGGTGAAAACACGTTTTTATGATTTATGGAGTGACAAAAAGTGAAATCCAAAATTCCCTCAGTAAAAACCTTTAGCTCTAATATGACAACAAAATCAAGCAAGAATTTTGAATTTGGCTTCAGATTTCTGTTCTGAAAATGTATGCAAATTAGTGCATATTTATTTAGAAAATGCTTTATTTGCGTATTTAAACAAAATTTCAGAAAACCTGTAATACAACAATGTGTGCAATTCTTAATGTAATCAATCAACTGTAAATCAAATCTTTAGTTGGTTAGACTGCTTTAGGTAGCTCTTCTAAACAGAATCACAATGAATGCAGTAACATGACTACTCAACACACACACACACACCCTCCCTCTGTTTTTTCCCTCCTGTCTGTATCACTCTCTCCGTCCGTCCTCGTGCTGTATTGACGTAAGAGTGGAAAAGCTAAAAATGAATGACATGAATCAGCCGGATGATTCTCTGGAATGACACAAGCTTTCAAACGTCTGCTGGGTTTTAACTAAAGCACTAGTTCAGAAACTACAGCACTTTACCATGAGAAATAGATGTGGAAAACCTGAACCGTAATATGTGTGTGCGTTTGAGTGTGTGTGTGAGTGTTTGTTTGAGTGTGTGTGTGTGTGTGAGTGTTTGTTTGAGTGTGTGGTGTGTGTGTGTGTGTGTGTGTGTGTGTGAGTGTTTGTGAATGTGTGTGTGTGTGTGTGTGTGTGTGTTGTGCACCAACATGGAAAACGCGCTATTAATACACGCATACTGAAGTGATGTCACTGACAAAGTTGACATTACGCCGCTAACCCTGATAACAAGCGTTCATAAATCCAGCGCTCATCAACACACTGCACATCCTCCAGCGCTCTATCACTCTCTCACACACACACACACACACACTGCAGCATCACGACAGTATCATTCAGATACGATTACAGTTCTTATTAATATTCCAAAGTAGCTTTCATTTTTCTATTTTCATTTTATTTAAGTTTGAATAATTTTGTTGTGTTTTTGTAAATTTCACAAGTCTTTTAATGTCCGAGTAGTTTTTTTTATTAATTTTCATTACAATTTTAGTGTGATTTTAGTAAATCAAGTTAAAATAAATTAAAATGTGAAATGTTGCCTTGACAACTAGCTGAAATAAAGTATGTTTAAGTTTTTTATATTTTATCATATTTCATATATATGTGATGCGATCTGGGAAAACCCGTCAGATGTCGCACTGGGACGTTTTCAGGAAATAGGTCGAATGTAAATCTTTTGTCAAAATTGGAGTTTCATTCAATTATTATTCTATAATATCTTGTCTATCATCTCTGAAAATATCTTGGCAAAATTCACTTGTTTAATTACAGTTAACTTATCAAAATAAACCACATAACATATATAATAAAGGCACATTTCCCGCCAGTCGTGTGTAAACTACGGCACGCAAAGTTTTTTAAATTTATTTATTTTTTAATATCGTGAGATGGCGGAGCGCAAGAAAACAACGCAGTCTGAAGCTGCTCACTTAAACGATCTTGCTTGAACCTGTGGATACTTTTTTCAGGATTCTTTGATGAATAAAAAGTTTAAAAAAAGAACATTTATTTAAAATAGAAATCTTTTCTAACTATATACGCTACTGTTTAAAAGTTTGGGGTCAGTACATTTTTATTCTTTCTTTTTTTGAAAGAAATTAAAACTTTTATTCAGCAAGGATGTGTTAAATTGTTAAGAAGTGATAGCAAAGATTTATATTGTTAGAAAAGAT